TCCTTATTATGAACTTTATTATCATTAAATGTGGACAGTATACTATAATCAATACAATAAAATCAATAAACATTTCAAAGAATAAAAAAGAGGGTCATATGTGATATCATGAACTTTTCTTACATATTTTTAAGTATTAAAGTGTATTTAAATGTTACACAGAAGTAATAAAAAGTTTCTCCTAAAAGTCTTTTTGTTTTCTGTGTATTTTAAGTGTTTTGTTGATTTTTCTTCATACCACTTCAATTTTTCCTTCTCATTGGAAGTGTATTTCTCTTGTGTTTTCAGAATTTTATTCTTGGAAATTTCCTGTCTTATCTGAGCTGAATTCTCTTATATAGTTTTAGTCCGTGGAATCATACCTATCCTTCTTCTGAACCCTTTGATATTTGATTGTCCAAAGTCTGGACAGCACATTAGATTATCCACAGCTTTCCTCTGTCATATACTCTAGGAGAGAATGATTACTTTCCCACAATATGCTCATAATTTCTACCCCAGTAACCATTTTATTCTTGTTGGAATCAGATCCCCAACCAACTTTGGTATGATTAGTGTTAACATGAATTTTTAAAAATAAATTTTTACTGATGTCTTTTGTTTTAACATCAACCAAAATTTTCCCTTGCTTCCTTCCCACAGAGCCATCTCTTATAACAAATTCTTTTGAAGAAGAGAAAGGAAATAGCAAAACTAGTCAGTATATTGAAAAAAATCTGAAGATATATGTAGTGTTTCACACCTGATGATTCTTTATCTCTTCCAAGGAATAGAGGGAGGTGTCTTCTCGTATCTCTTTTTTGGGGCCAAGCTTGTTCTTTGTCATTTCACAATATCCATTTTAAATTATTTTGTTGTTCTTTACATTTACATTGATATAGTCATGTATATTGTTTTCTTGGATCTATTTATTTCACTTTGTATCAGTTCATGTAAGTCCACGCTTATATTTTATGTTTTATTGATGCATTTTGTTTTTACATTTTTATGATTATACCTACTTTGTGAAGCTTGTATCAGAGTAGAGCACTTAAGTAAAACTAATAACGTGACCTCATCTGAAAAGTGCAACATTTCACATCTATAGCACCCCTACCTCTATTTTTTTAATTGAACAAATCTATTTTCTCTCCACCCTAAAAAAAAGAAAAGAAAAATAAATTTCTTGTAACAGATATGCCTAGTAAAGCAAAAAATTCCTTCAGTGGCTGTATGCCAAATATGTGTGTGTCATTTACTTTCTTAAATCTGTCATTTCTCTGTAGTGGATAGCATGTTTTATCATCAATATCATTCTTAGAGCTTTCAGAATTGTTTTTACAGTATTACTATTATTGTATAAATTGTTCTATTGCTTCTGCTCACTTAATTCTTTATCAGTTTATAAAAATCCTCAAAATTTTTCATTACTATAATATTGATGTTGTAGAATAAATAGTTCTTTTGGTTCTATTTTGCTTTGTATCAATTGATATAGTCTTTGCATATCTTTTTGAAATTACCTATTTCCTCATTTCTTATAGCATAATAGTACTACTCCATTGCATTTATATACTATGCCTTATTCAACCATTCCTCAATTGATGGGTATCTCCTTAGTTTCCAGTTTGTTTTGCCACAATACAGAGCTGCTATAAATATTTTTGTACATAAAGGACGTTTTTTTCTTTCTTTGGTCTCTTTTGGGTATTGACCTAGCAGTGGTATAGTTCCATCAGAGTATTACAGTTTAGTAAATGTTTGCATATAATCCCAAATTGCTTTCCAGAATGATGTACTAATTCACATTTCCACCAACAATTCATTAGTATGCTTATCTTTCTATAATCCCTTTAACATTGACTTTCCTTCTTTTGTCATCTCTGCCTGTTTTGCTGGTTGTGAGCTGAAGCTTCAGGTTTATTTTGATTTGCATTTCTCTTGTTAGTGATTTGGAGCATTCTTTCATTTGATTGTTAATTGTTTGCATTTTAAAAATAATTATTTGTTCATATCCTTTGATCACTTATCTATTGAAATGGCTTTTAATTTTATATGTGTGTGTATATATATATATATAAATATAATTTTTTTTTTTTTTTTGCTCATCTGTATATCTTGAGTACCTAACCCTCATCCAGGATATTTGCTGTGAAGATTTTGTCTCCCCATTTGACTGCTTCCCTTCTTATCCTAGATGAACCTTAGGAATTGTAAAGATTTTTTAGAATTGTGTCAAACATTCCCTTACTGATTTATTTCTAAACAATGTTTTTGTTACATATGCCATTTATTATTAGATTTTATTAATTCACTTATTAAATACATAAGGTATTTTGGTTTTTGTCAATGTGTTCTGTGTTCTCATTCCTCAACCAATGAGCATTGCAGTTCCTTCGTGCTGAAGACTATTGCTGTGGATTAAAAAAAAATTTCCATTATCTTATGATCAACTTTTTGGTAAGGTGCCTTTCCAGTCTAGTCCTCAGGCAAAAGTTATATAGTCTAATTCTAGAGTGAATGAAAAGTCTGTAGCTTGGCAGGACTTTATCAAAACTTGCATTCTGCTGCAATAGAATTGAAAACCTAGCCATTTCCATACCTTGACAAGGCATTGGAGGTCTTTGCTGGAGATTTATTCAAATGAGGAAGATAACTTTTTTGTGTTGTCATGCCACTAACGTATCCTTGTTGTACAAGTAAAACTAATTCTGAATTGTTTGTGTTTAGATTTAAGCAAAGAATGAAGAAATAATCTTGGAATTAATTTTGTAATACATATATTAAGTATTTATATAATGTTACTATGTGAAATCTTTATTAGAGTCCTATTCTTATGCCTTAGTGCGGTATTAGAAGTGACTAAAGCAGAGTGAAATGTTGGTTGTAGGTACCAACAAACTAGAAAAGGCTTTGAGTAAAGGCCCAGTGATATATTTCATGTCTGTTTTCTGATAATCATCCTAAGTTTGAAGAGAACTCATCACCAGGATGTACTCAAAATGACAAGATCTTTGTCCACAGCAGCTCTTGAAACCCACCTTCTAAGCCCTGAAAAGGAGGTGAAATAAGTTGGTGGAGGAATTACTCAAACTGAAGTACAAAAAATGCTACTTGAGAATTAGTCTAGATTAAAGAAAAAAAATTCTGCCACCTAGACTTTCTATATGCATCTCATAATTGTTTTTGTTTCTGTCTATACTTAGTAAGAAAATTAAACTATTCTTTTCTTAAAGACAAGCTTAAAGGATTTGGGGAAGTAAAAGTATCCAGTTAGCAGCCACTTACCCAAGAGTGAAACAGTCTTTCCCTTGTGAAAGTGGCTACCTTCTGCTTAGTAGCTAGGCTTTAATGTCTGAGACCAGAGGTGATTTTATTGGGAAGCAAGTAGTCTTGAGACTAAGTGATAGACCTACTATGCACAGGGCAAATTAACATCAAACATGCTGAACCAGGGATTGACATTCATCTGATGGCACCTTAAGATAGAGAAAATGGTTCTTGCTATCCACATTTAGGGAAAAAATATTGTGAAAATTCATAGAAATGTTTTAATTTTTGTAACATTTTTCTGATGAGAAAAATGTTTTATTTCTTATTTCCCAAATCCCCAGATTTTTCACTTGCATATTTTGATAATTGGACTCCAGGGGCAGTTATATTTTGATCAAGCATAATTTTTCAAATTGGAACTTTAAAATATAATATGAATTTCTCCTTTCTTTGCTTCCCATCCCCACAACCACTAGAGAGGTATTTAATAAAAAATAAATCCTTTTAATAAGGATTCAAATTGGCCAAGACTTGATAAATTCATCTTATGAATATCTAAAGATAATCCCTATATCTTTATTATTAAACTTTAAAAATTTAAAGTAGCATTTATAATTTGATTGAGACTTTTCCTTTAAAGGTAAACTAAATTCTGTTTTTCTTTGAAATGGAAAGGATAATGGTAGTTGTTGTTACATGTAATTAAAATGCTTCTGCTGAAAAGGGATGAAAATTATTCTTAAAAATGGTGCAGTTTTTTCTATTATCCTCTAGGTGGAGACCCTTCATGCTTTTTGCAAAAATTTCATGTTATGTGCAAATAAGACTTTAGATTTGTTTTTTGTTTTGTTTTTTCAGATGCTTGAAAATTTTCCTCAAAAATGTGCATTTAAAGAAATTCATTCTTAGTCTGTTGATGAATAGAGTTAAATATTCTTTTTCTCTATCGCCTGATTTTTCTCTTCACAAACTCACCTTTCTAATAAGAGACTTCGCATAAGTCTATCATACTTAAGATAAATTATATGGAATGGAGTCATTTACATCCTTATTAATTAATTTCTTAGTAGTAAAGTAGTCAAGTTGTAGATCCTCAATGATGAAGTTTTTGTCTTTGCATGCATTTATCAGAAAATGCAAAGAAGTCATTTAAGAAGGTGATGAATATGGATGGTAAAAAAAAAAGTACTTAGAAAACAGAAGGGAAAATGTTAGATGAGAAATTTAACAGTTCATTAGTCCCAGGTTCCCACTTCACCAATTTGCTTTATATCTTAAGGCAGTTGTTTTCCATACTAGTTTTTCTGCTTCCTGTCCTGTTCTCTCCCTCTTCCCTCATTGGTTGCTTTATTCTGTTACATTTTAACATATATTGTTTGAAGTGATTGTGAAGTAGTTTTTGACATGCTTTAAGATAACATTTATTGTGGCCTCATGCCAGTTTTCTGCATTTCTGCAGAATAATTTCTGCCACAATAAATGTTATCTTAAAGCATGTGGGAAATTTGTATAGAATTCCTGGATCCAGTAGTGGCTCTTGAGTAAATTCTGTCAGTGTCTATTATCTATACATAATTGCCTAAATTTATTCCCTGGAAGCCTCTTAGTGTGCTTAGGACAGTGGGAATAAAAAGAAAGAAAGAACTCTGATGAGGAAGATTAATGTCTAATTTTGTATAAAATTTTTGAATTATTTAAAATAGTAAACATTAGCAATCTCCTTATGGGTACCCCTTTGTATATTTTAGTAGTAAGATGGACAAATTAGGCCCACCACTTCGAACTGGAAGAGATGTGCAAAGGTTGTATGAAAGCGATACAAAATCAGACAGTGCCATCAAAAGAAATAAGTTATTACCCATTAACAAGTAAGTATTTGTGACTCAGTTTGGTTAATCTCTTTCAGATATTTTCTTAAAGGATTGAAATATAGGCTACCCTATAACTTTCTAAATATAGAAAGCATACTTATTTTAAGAAATTATATTTGCTGCTAGATTAAAATTTTAAAATAGAAACCTAAGTCCTTTTTAAAAGTTTCTGTTGAGTTTTTTCATTATCCTAAGTAAAGGTCTTTCAGTTAATACCTTTTAATCTGGTAATTTAAAAATGTTACAGTATTAAAGTATTTTCTTTTAGTTTTGATTTTAAAACCATTTGTAAAAATTTATAAAAATGAACTTTTTTTTTCTCCAAATCTTTGATAAAGTCAATGTGAAAGTAGAGCAAAGAAGGTACGTCCATACCAGTTCTGCCCTATTGATGTTAGGAAAAACTTGTTATCTCTGGAAGAATTGAAGATAGGACCCAAATTGAAACTCTTTCGGATAAGATTTCAGGATCATAATTTATTGTTTAAACATTCTCAGTATATCCTAAACAAGTATATTCATCTTACACATAAAAATAGTAATACTGTCACATTTATATTGTGATACAAAGTTTACAAAGTACTCCTCACAACAGCCCTATTGAGAGAGCATGTGTGAAGCAATTTGGATACCTTAAAGAACTATATAAATGTAAGGACTATGATGATATGGTGGAAAGAGCTTTATTTGGAGTTGAATGGCTTTTTGTCTGGATCCCAGCCTGCTCACTCCTTGCATAACTCTAGGCAAGTTTATCTCTGGCCTTCAGTTTCCTCATCTGTAAGATGTGAGGGTTAGTAAGGTCCTTTCCAGCTTTGTCATCCTACCTAGAATTTGACCCTTAATATTTCTGGGTCTTTCCAACAATCTTGTAACAACTCTTTTTGTGTTGTCTACCACAATTAGAATGTTAGCTCTTTGAGAGCAGGGCTTGCTAATTTTTTTTTTCCTATTGTATCCTCAGTGTTTTTGGTACAGCGCATATCACATAGAAAGTTCTCAATAAATGCTTTTTCATTCATTCATTTAAACCTAAAGGTGCAGATACTATCTCCATTTTTCAAGTGAGGAAGTTGAGGCTTTAAATCATCAAACCCGAGTCTCTGTGATTTGGTCACATAGCTAGTATTTTTAGAAATGGGACTTGGACCCAGATCTCCTGTGTGACCTTCTCCAAAGTGAAGCAGCTAATTAATTGCACAGAGCTAGGACTACAACCTATTTTTTTTTTTAATTCTTAATATAAGACATCATGCAGACACCTACTTTTAAAGGTATAATTGTTCATTTAACCAGAGACACAATAAATAGTAAAATTTGAAAAGTTGTCTTGAACTTTACAGTTCATCTTTAAAAAAAATAACGACTAGTGATAAGATGGTGAAGAAAGTAGGCTATGTACATTATGCCATTTCTCTTATAATTACCTCTTCTAGTTATTACTTAAGTAGCTGATATCAAGAACTGGTAGATGTTATTGAGGTAGTAGAATGTTAGCCTCATCAGTGAGCTTGTCTTCAATTATTTTTTGAGTTTTTCTAAAGCATATTTTAGATGCAGAAATAGTGACTGACATTGATTAGGGAGAAAAATGTGTATCCAACTGCCATCTTGGGGTCAAGAAATTTCATGTACTAAATGAGAAAAAATTCCTCTATATTTCCTTGGAATTCAAAAAAATTTTTACCTCACTCTGAAGAGGTACAACATTTTTATATGCATTTCATTTTAATATTGAACCTCTGGAACATTTAAATATTCTTAATGATTGAACTATAGTAATTGGTCACTTGTTCAAGGCCTATAAAGATGATGTAAGTAAGTAAAGAGACTAAGTTTTTAAAATTCCTGACAAAACTTCTGGAGAGGCTGTGCTTCCATTGTCATAGAACATGTCTTTTTGTGCTCATTTTCTGTTAGAAGTATCTTGTATAATTTAGAAGAATAATTTCTAAATAAGGCACTGCAGTAATTCTGCAGTAGATTTCAAGATGTGCTGAATAGAAATGAAGTGGAGGAACTTTAATCTCATGGATGAACTCTTTGCCTTTGTATCTTATTTGGGTGCTGTGGATGTTTTTTAGGGGTGCCATGTGTTAGTGACAATTTGAAGTAGATATTGCCCTAACCTCTAGATGCAGTGGTGGGTATCTTCATTTCTCTTGTTGGGCTTTAGAAATGACAGTTTAAAAGGGATATTTCCCAAAGTAGTCTGACATGAGTCATTGATATGGCAATTTAAAGCTTTTAGGGTAGGTTTTCCCTCTTCCATCTCTCCTATATAATTAGTTTGTGAAAGAACCATTAATCTAACTGAATATTTTGACATTAATGATTATCTTAGCCATCCTGACCATTTAAATATGTATTTGTTTATATAGGTTAGACTTATGCATCAACCTACTAGGTAAAACTAGTAACCTGGAACTACCACAGGTCGGGCACAAATGCGTGGCTACCTAAATGAAACAATGGATAGAATGGCATTCACCAAATTCCCTTAATAACTGTACTTGTAAGCATGAGATTTAATAAACTAAATACTAGTTTTTAATGTCTTAACTGGTTTCCATTTTCTTTATTCACGGTGTAGTGACTAGTGATAATAAAATGAGTTATATTATTATTTTTTTCTTCAGACTCATATTTCATGGGGAACTCCAAGTTCATAGGGAAATTCCCTTTACAAATGCAGATCAGTAACTTGTCTGCTTTTAAATCTTAGAGTTGTCTGGGACACTGAGAAAGTAAGTTGATGTGCTCATACTCACATAGTATGTCAGGTAGTATGGTGAAGTGGAAAGAACATTGATTTAGGAATCAGTGTACCTGCCCCTGAAACTACCTGTGTGACCTTGGGCAAGTTACTTAATCTCCTTGGGCCTTAGTTTTTCATCAAAAATGAGAGGTGTTCAACTTGATGACTGCTGAGGTCCTTTGCAGTTCTAGATCTATGATATTATATGTCTCAGAGGTATGACTTGGACCCAGGTCTTCTTGACTCAAAGACCAGTCCTTCACCTCTCTTACATTACAATATGTAAGTAAATTATTTAGCAAATTACTTTACAAATATAAGTCAAGGCAAGGCAACAGGAATTTATGAACAAGCATTTATTAAGCAGTTACTACATGCCAGGCATTGTACTAAGTGGTGGGAATAGAAATACAAGCAAAAAGAAAGACAGTCCATACTCTCAAGGAGCTTATATTCTGTTGGGAGGCAACAACACATAAAAGGAAGCTGAAAGCCAGTGGTGGGAGTAGGAGAGGGAAGGGTAAAGATGGAGAGAGAGGTAACAGCCCAGCCCATGGTGAGGAAAGAAGTCTAAAGAGTCAGGTGTCATCCTTGAAGAAGAAGGAAGGAGGGAACAATCCAGGCCCTTCCTTAAAAGGGAACTTTTGGGAGGAACTGACCAATCAGAGGAAGGGGCCATGGTGGGGCAGAGGGATCTTCCGTGGTGAGAGCTGGTGGGGAATGGTGTCTAAATGTTAGTTTATACAATAAAGTAAAATAATTTTATGTATGTGAGATAGGTCATAACTCTTATTTTCACATTTATGGCTAAAAAGTGTTTTACATGTAGAGAGGTAGTGCAAATAGTGTCTCTGTTCTGCAGCTGAGGAAGCTTAGACCCAGAGTGGTTCAGTAAGCTGCTGAAGATAACACAAACCAGTACATTAATGAAGTCGGGGTTCAAACTCTGGGCTTTTGACTCCAAACACAATGCCCTTTCTGCTCTACTACTATTGCTTCAGGGCAGTCTTTTATCTTGTTTAAAGTCTCTAGGGAAATGATTAAATCCATTTTAATTTCATGTGAAACATTTTGTACCTTTTAAAAGATATTTGTATTTTCAAGATAGTGATTGTAAACTATAGCATTGATTTCAATATTATTTTCTTCTTCCATAGTTTCGTGTTCCAGAGTTTTGACTCTGTGTCTCTGAACTTTTATTTAACTTAAATTCTTCAGCAAAGTCTTTTTTTATAATTATATTTTTGCATTTGTACCCAATTAAGGTGCTAATCATTTATGTCTTTTTAAATCTACCTTATTTTCCCTTTCAGAGGTAGCACGAAAGCACGGTCTTCAACACCACCTAGTTTGGCAAAAAATTCCATACCAGGAGTATTAACAAACAAGAGAAAAACCTATAATGCTGAAAGTTATGCAAACAGGTATGTTTAACTATATAGTGCTATTACTAGAAATTTTAAAATGTATTTTTCAGAATGTTATATGGAAGAACATAATGGTTTTTAATAATCAACTCATTCTTTTTATTATAAGATGATTTCATTCAGTTTTTGAACATGTACTAGATTTGGCATAAATAGTTTTGCTTTCCATTGCCAGCAGCTGAAATATGTTAAAACGTAACTTTCCATGTCATTCAGTTGGTTCCATTGAAATATTTTGCATTTGGATTTCCTTGCAACATTATGCTCTAAGAACTACAGTTTAGTTACTGCAAATAATGGGATTTCTTGAACCTAAAATTTAGTACAAACTTGAAATATGCAGAATGCCATTTGGCCTAGGGTGGAATAAAAACATTGATCAGGCTTAGTGAATTTCAGCTATCTGAGCAATATAATCCTGGATTGTTTCTCTTTTAGCATATATCCTTATATTGTACTCATTCTAAACTTATTCTTCATCCCAACTGTGGGCCTCCAGTTCCTATACCCCAGACTGTATCATTCTAGCTCTTCACATTCCTCTCTTCCCAGTCTCAAAACTGTAGTTGACAAGTTCACCTCTAGACTATCTTGTACTTTTGAGCTACATACTCCTTTGTTCTATCAGCAGTAGCACTGCTACATATATGCTATAAATGGAGAAGAGGAAGTCATTCAACTGTGCTACAAATTTGTTATCTTATCTCAACTGGACATAAGACAATCCTTTTTACTCTTCCATAATTAACTCTATCCTCCTTACCACAGCAGTTTTTCCAAATCTTTTCTTTTCCATAACATCCTCTCTGCCCATTTTTTCAGCTGAAGACCTCTTCTCTTATCTCACCAAGAAAATCTAGACTATTAACCAGCTGTGAGTTGCCACTTCTCATCTTCATATCCCACAACCTCTTGACATCATTTGCCATTCTCACCTTACCCCAGTCTTCCCCTCTGTGTAATCTTCAATCTCTATCTGTTGATTCTTTCTTTGCTGCCTAGAAATGTGTCCAGATCTCCTCTATCCTTTAACAAAAACCTTGCTGGACCCTCCCTGATAACTATCATCCCTTATCTCTTTTCCTTTCTCAGCCAAACTCTTAGAAAAAAAGCTGATTGTACTAATTATCACCACTTCTTTGTATCTCACTCTCTTCTCTTGCTTATGACTTCATCACTCAACTGAAAATGCTTTCTCCAAAGTTACCAGTGATCTCTTAATAGCTAAATCTAATGGCCTCTTCTTAATCTTCATCCTTCTTGACCTCTCTGCAATCTTGGAAACTGTTGATCACCTTTCCTCTTGATTTCTCTGTCTTCTCTGGGTTTTCATGGCACTGCTGTTTCTTACTTTTCTTTCTGTCTGTTTAACCACCGCTTCTCAGTTGCCTTTGCTCCCTAGTTTTGGGTGTACCTCAACATTCTGTCCTAGGCACTCTTCTCTTTTCTCCTTTACTCTTTCATTTGGTGACTTCATCAGTTCCCATGGCTTTAATTATTATCTATATATCTGTATCTGTACATATGTGACTCTTAGATCTGTATATTCAGCTCCTTTCTCTCTGCTAAATTAGGCTTATGTCACTAATTTCTTATTGGATATTTCAGAATAAATGTCCCATAGGCATCTCAAACAACACATACAAAACAAAATTAACAACCTCATTGTCACCCTTGACTCTTCACTCTTCTTCACCCTACCGATCCAGTAAGTTGCAAGATCTTGTCATTTATCTCTTCAACATTTCACATCCTTCTTTCCCTTCACCCATACAGCTACCACCATAGTTCAGGTCACATGATGCTAGACTATTGTGACAACCTCCTAATTAGTCTTCCTGCTTCAAGTCTCTCCCCTTCTCAGTTCACCCTCAGTATATCTGCCAGAGTGATTTCCCTAATGCACAGGCTTCACTGTCACCTCATGTAATCTCTAGATTCAAATATTAACTCCTTTGGTTGCATTTAAACTTCTTCACAACCTGGCCCCTACCTAACTTTCCAGCATTAAGCATTATTCCATTCTGTGCACTCTATGGTCCAGCCAACCTGACCTTTTTGCTTATATTGGTTATTTTGTATCTATTTTGTACTATATGTGTAAATGTTAACTACCTATAAGAAAGTAAAGCTCTTAAGTTGAAACTATTTTGGCTTTTGCCTTTGTACATCAAGTGCCCCGCACAGTGCTTGGCATGTAGGTACATATAAATGCTCATTGCTACTATGCTATTCTTATGTTTCTGAGTATTTCATCAGTAGTTATATTCACACCAGTGCTGATATTTCTTTTTTTATGGATAAATAGAAAATAACTTAAAGTTATATAAATATCAACCATTATTGTTACTGTCCAACATCTGACATTGCCTGTAGATCATGTTTACATTTCATCGGTTCCTAGGATTTAGAACTGGAAAGGGACTTTAAAGGACATTTAGTCTAACCACCCCTACCTCACCCCCCTAAAAAAAAATATTACACATGAGGGAATACAGCTCCCAAACAAAGAGATCAAGTTCAGAGTCAGTATTCATATTTAGATCCTTTGACTCCAAATCTAGTGGCACATGACCTTCTTTGGTCATATAGAATGCAGGAAGCAACCAGGAGCAGTTGTGACAAGTGCCTAAGTGTGTGTGTGGGTGTGTGTGGGTGGGTGTGTGTGTGCAGGTGGGTGTGTGTGCATGGGCACATATGTTGCTGATGTCTTTGGGCCATGTGCACATTCTATGACTGACTGAAGTTTTGGCTGTCCTTAATATTTCTTGAAATAGTTTGCAGTGTTAATTTCATGTCAGCAGTAGGTTATTTGTTTTATTAGTATATTTCCTCTTTTGGAGATGGGAATAAGCTTTGTGTTTTCCTGAGAGAAGAAGTTTTGCTTCTGGAGAATCATCTTCTCTATTATTCTATCTAGGCTTTTTGAATGTTTTGGTTATGTGCAGAGTATATATATACTTTTTTTGTGTGTATACATATATTTTCATCTTTGGTTCTGTGTCAATGTCTGTTATAGTGTTTTGCAAAGAAGTTACACAGAACTTTTCTTTTAAGAACTCTTAAAGTGTATTGGGTAGAAAGAAAGGGAAAAGAACAATACTGAGATTTTATAGATATTTCCAGGAAGTTTGAAATTTTATTATAAATTTCTAAATATAAATTATATATGTATATTATATAAAATAAAAATTATATATTTTATATATGTATATTATATATTATATAATATTAATCATATTGATAAATTAAATTTATAAATATAGGTCATATATTTATAAATATATACATTATAAATATAAAATATATTAAAAGTTTGAAAATATATGAGAAGAACTATATTTGTACAGTGATTCTTTAGTTGTAAATATGTTGTAAGGGAAGGAACACTTGAGTTAGGAGTAGAGTGACCTGGGTTCGAATTTGTTTCTGTTATTAATTAGTTGTGAAACTTTGGCCAATTCCCTTTATCTTTCTGTGCCTCATTTGTTTTATCTGTAAAAAAGAGAGGAGTTGAGATTAGATATTCTTTGAAATCCCTTTCAGCCACAAAATATGGAGATTCTGTGATTCAGTTATATGACTCTCCTAGGAACAAAGCTTGTGTTTTTATCAGTTCTTCATTTTTTAAAAGATACAATAATTGAAAAGATATTTTATTTTAATAAATTGGTTATATCAACATAGACTATACCCCTTCCATATACCTGTAGTAAGTGGTCTGCATAAAATGCTGTGGTCAAACTAAACCTATTAGCCAACCTATTTTAAGGCTTTCCCTGCTCAGAGTACTCATGTTCTACTGGCATAAGCCTTCTGGTTCTCTGAGTTACTGCTGTACCACACTGAGGCATTGACCTTACATTTAAAAGAAACCTTCCTATATTATTTGAAGCAGAGCTATAAAGAACTATACAAAGGCAGTGTACTATGATATGAATTATTATTTTGACAAGAGAATGAGAATTGAAGAGAACAAGAAGGTACTAGGTACCTGAAGTGTGTTTCCAACAGGAGGTCAGGAGACAGAGAGTGGAGAAAGGTGACTCTGTATACAGAAAAAAGATACTTCAAAATTTTGGCCTTTTTAATTTAAAATGAATTAGGCCAGATGTGCACTAGGTACTTTTTAACTGCATATGGAAACACAGGTTGCTGTGCTTCTAAATATACATGAATCTAAGTTGGCCATTTATATTTGTTGTTTAATGACTACATTTTTAAAAGAAGATTTTTTTTTTAAATAGAATATTACCTGAAGTAGGCATTTCCATTTTAAATCTCTTTACGTTTTACTATCAGGGGTCCAGTCTATGGGATGAAGTACTAGTTTCTTTTTGAAAATAGGTTCAAGCAACAGTAAACAGTTGGGAAAATTGTGTGGGAACATGAAGACTCCGTTAAAATAGGCATTTGGTCTTAGAAGTAAAAGGAGCTCCATGGACCAACTAATACAACTTTGTTCCCAGCATAGGAATCTCTTCTATAACATTTTTTGAAAATGATCATCTAGCCAATGGCTATCGGTTGACTAATGGTTCATCATCAGTATCGCTATTTACTAGATGTCTAACTTTTTATATAGTTGTACTTTAATGATTAAGCCTTGAGCATCTACATAATATTCTTTCAACTCAGCTTCATCTGTTTCATGGAATTGGTACCTGTTTCCTTCTAGTTTGGTATATTAATGTGTATCATCTTGCTAGCCCATGTTTGGTGACTTGGTAGATTAGTCTGTGAACATTCTTAGCCATTAATATGGATTCAATTATATTTTCATAACAGTGTCTTAAGATGGTATTACTATTTTGATGCTAAAGATAGGAGTTAACAAGTTTATCTTCTGTTGAATGAGCTGCTATTTTCATATGAACTAAATAAAGGAGACTTTTGAAAGCCTTAAGAGATAGATACTGTATAACTCATTTTGTTGATTTTTTTAAATAATGTTATTTGAATGTTACTGACATAGACTTTGTATTTATAATGTTCTTCATCACTTCAGGTCAGATGTAGATTATTCATCTGTCAACGGAGCAGGCTTTAAAGGCAATGAAGGAAATTCATCTGGACAGTTACCAAAATTCTGCCATGAATGTGGAACCAGATATCCAGTGGAATGGGCAAAATTCTGCTGTGAATGTGGCATTCGTAGGATGGTTCTATGAACATGTACCAAAAAGTAAAAAAAAAAAGATCTAAGCCCAGAGTTCTGTAGAGTTTCTGCTTCATGAAAACTTAGAGCACTTCCTCTAGTCATTTCATGCTACACATATGCAAACATAGTAATTTTTTGAGTGCAATCCTTTTTGGCTGCATAATTTATATATACACAACGTACACATTCTGTGTAAATAAACTTCAGGTACTCACGAATGTGTCATTTAGGAAAATATTCTTTTAGTTGTCAATATATTTTCAAGTGGGCATATGTTAATTTATGGATAGTAACTTTTGTTTTGTTTTTAAAAGCACAATATGCCAATACAATCTAAAGTTACTTCCTTGAAATTTTGAGAGTGTGTTCTGTGCTTTCAGAAGATAATCAAAGAACACATTATTTTAATGTAGATACTATCTTTGCAAGGTCATAATATAGGTTTAGAGCTAGCAGGAACTTTAATGGCCATCTAGTTCAACTCTCTTATTTTACATGAGGAAAATCAAGGCCCAGGAATGTTGTGACTTGCCTGAGGAAATATCAAGTGTAGTAGATGTTTTTCCTGTGATTTTGTACTTGAAGAGAATATCTTTGGCTAAAGTCTTATCAGATCATATTCCCTTTTTGCCATTGCAATTAATTTAATAAAATTTATTAAAATAGACACTTATAAACCTGTTACCCATTTTCCTAAATATTTAACAACGTGATTTAAAACATGTTTGCACATTCTTTGAAAATGGAAATGAAATTTCCTTTTGAGATGCTTATTTGCAACTACAAAAATGGTCAAAATTGAAAATATAGAATTTTAGAATTCTGTTTCTAAGTTAAAGACTTTTATTCCCTTAGAGCCCATGAAAGTACTTAACATCATCTTTCTTCTTTGATTCCAATTGTGTCCTCAGCCCTTGTTTTCTTTTTCTGCCTCTTATCTATCTTCATTTTTGAGAAGAAATTTTAATTCAGAATTTCATTTTTATGGGTTTAGAAAATATATTTATATAATATCCCTCTATAAATAATATAAAAACACAACTTGCTTTTTAACAGATTTCCAGTAAATATCTAGATTTTTTTTTATGGTATTTCACATAAAAATATTTAACAGATTTTATAGGAGTCCAGTTTGTCTGATGATTATCATTCAGGATCTTTCAATTTTAAACCCTTTGCAAAGAGCTATACTAAGCGCCAGTGATACTGAGAAAAACAAAAATAGCCCTTGACCCTAAGGAGCTTATTATTCTAATGGGAGAAACAAAATATATGTCAGGACATAACAAGATAAATACAGAGTTGATGTAAAGTATGAATGATAGAAAGCTATAAATTATAACAGGTGAGTATACAGATAGTAATTTCGTTGCCCTTAAGTACAGTTATCCTTTGTTACATATATGAAACACAGATCTAGTTTTCCCTAATTTTTCCTGTAGGGTTCAGTCTTGTAATACTAATCTACATTATAATCAGTAATTGACCATAAAAATTAGATTTTTAATGTATAGCTGAGACCTATTATGTAAGTTTTTTTAACTTCCTATTTTAGTTGTATGTCAGGAATTTGTGTTAATGATTTAATTACGGCTTCCCCACAACTTAGCTATCTCCAAGTATTATTTGTAAGTTATTGTCACTAACAGCATATGGTAGATATTAGGTTCCTAAGAGTTTCTGTTGAAATTGGCATAATTTGTGCTGCCACTTTTAGCATCCTTACAGTATTTTTAATTCATTCAAATTTAGGAAAATTATATTATATTTTAAAATACATAGGGCTAATTACAAATAAAACTTTGGCGTATATGAGATTAGATTTTGGCTATTTAAGTGTAGAGTTGGTCTGTTCAGGGGGAATTGAGATGGACATTTGTAGCAGTCTTGGGGTTTTCTTTCTCCAAAATGTAGTTATGCTTAACTTCTATGATTTTTGCTCAGTATTAAAGATTTATAAAGGGGGAGAGGGGAAGAGGAACTGTCATTCTATCCACCAGTAATCCCTCCCTGATTTTTATTACTTCTTTTTATTAATGCATAGGGCTAATTACACACAAAAATGTTGGCATATATATTAAAATATATTGGACAAATATCCAAAAAATGATTATTACCTAGTAATTAGATTAGGATTTAAGACGCATATTTTAGAATTTAATTTTGACCAGTTTCTGTTCTGTTTTTAACATAGGTTGTTCTAACCCAAATTATGAAGAACAAAGAGGCAGTTTGGCATAGTGAAAAGAGTGCTGGACTTGGAATCAGGAAACCTGAGTTCAGATCTTGCCTCAGATACTTACTAGCTGTGTGACCATGGGCAAGTCACTTAACCTCTCTCAGCCTCAATTTTCTCATCTGCAAAGTGGGGATTATAATGTTTGCACTTCCTGCCTCACAGGGTTGTTGTGAGGAAAGCACCATGCAAACTGTAAAGTGCTGTATAAATGTAAGTTATCAAAGTTTGAACGTTATGTTTTTCTTGCTTTCCTTTTGTTAGAGCTGCAGAATTTTCTCTGCACAAGTAGAGCTAAATGGGTTAAATCAGATAGACCGACATATGTGTTTCTCATAATGAATTTTATGGTAACAGATAAATGTCTAAATGTAATGCATGGGGAAATGATTTGATAACAAATTGTTTGTTTCTGGAGTCCAAAGATATTATTATGAACTGTGAGGAGATAAAATATATTTATGAATTATGAAACATAACATGACAATGTATTTAAATTCATTTTAGAATTTCCATAATTATATACATATATTACTCTCACTTTGATTTATTGTGCAATACTGTACTTCAGTTTTTAAGAAATTATCCTACAGCTATGCACCATTTTTTCTTTTTATTTATTTTTGTAATATATTTTCCAGTGTTGTAGTATAGATAATGAATTTAAGCTTGAGCTGCAAATGTAAAAATCCTTTGTGTAGTCTTCTGAAATTTATTAGTTTAAGATTAAGATAACTATTGTCTGTTGTCCACTGTAACTTTTTATAAATAATGTGTGATGTGTTCGACCTCCTACAATAAACATATGAAACATAGCATCTTATTTTTTTAATTACCTTCCTAAATATGTGTGTGTGTGTGTGTGTGTGTGTGTGTGTATAAACACATTGGTATAGAGAAAAAAATATGTTTTGAAGTACACATTCTTACTAAGAAAGTGATCTTTTTTAGCCAGTTATTTTTAATAACCATAGAATTTTGAAGTTGAAACTGTATTTTATTATCACAAAGATTGCCACGATTTTAAAGAATAGATTGACACACTTTTGCCTAACCAATTAATAGAAGCACAGCAATGTTCTGTTGAAGGTAATCTTTTGGAATATAAAAATATGGCTAAAGCATGTCTAGCTAAACAATAAACATTGCTTGAATAGGAGAAGTTATTAATTTGCAATAAATGTCTAGTAATGCCTGGTAAAGACTAAAAATCTTTTCATGACTGTCTTAGCTAATTTCTGAAAACCTTTACCTGGCAAAAAAGAATTCTAGTATACGTCCAAGGATTGTGATCTGCTTGGGAGAGGAAGTACCCAAACCAGTAATATGGATCCTAAAAGTAAATGGAGGGATTCAGTTCGTTATTATTAAATTAAGAGATATTTATTGAAAATATTGAAATAGGCATGTACAATTTTTGCTTTGTGACCTCCAAGCACAATCTGAATGCTTTGAGGAGATGAAGATGTTGAAAATGAAAAATAATACAGTAAAGGATGAAAGACTCAAGTTAAAAACCACTGCTTTAGGCAGCATATTTAATTTGTTATGCCTTATGTTACATAGTTCTCTAGTACTGCTTTAAGTTAGTGTCTCCAGCTTAATCAAAACCATACAATGTGATGTGGTGGAATGGGTGCTGGTCTTGAATTCATTAGAATCATGGGCTCAGATCCAGACTCTAACTGACCATGCACAAGACGACCTGTTCTGTATCAGCTTTTTCATATGTTACATGGAAATAGTAATCTCTCTAAAGGTTTTTAAATGATGTGTATAAAGTACTTTGGAAACCTTAGAGAACTAAGAGTATATAATCATTAAAATGTAGTAAATACTAGTAACTTTCATTGAAGTCATGTTTTAAGTCTTCATCTTGATGTGGAGGGCACTCTTATTTCTTTGATAGCTATTCCAGGCTGCAAGTTCTGGGTGTACTTATATCAAGAAAGTTGTTGTAAATCAAACTTGGTTATAATACTTTTTTTGGATAAATTGCTGAAGTATGTTTGAAAGGATTTTATTTAACATTTTTGAATATTCATCAATGATCTTGATTTAGAGTTCTCCTTTATTTTATCTTCACATCAAGTCAGTAAGCATTTATTAAGTGCCTTCTCTGTGCCATAGAAAAAGAAAGGTTCAAGGAAGTCAGGAAGCCAGGAGGTGGAGATAAGGAGGGAGAGCATTCTGGGTATGGGGGCAGCCAATGAAAATGCATTGAGTGTCTTGTGAGAGAAATAGCAAGGAAGGAGGACTGTCATTTGCCTGTATAATCCAAGATGGGGGAGCAAGGTATAAGAATTCTGAAAAGATAGGAAATGGTCAGGTTTTATAGGAGTTTGAAAGCCGAACAGTACAAATTTTATATTTGATCCTTGAAGGAATAGGGAGCCACTGGAATTTAGAAGGGATATTTCTCCTGGATTAATCAACCTGGATGGGAAAAGAACAACTCTTAAGTCAGGTTATACACATAGGCGCGCGCGTGCACCTGTGTGTGTGGGGGGGGGTCTGACACAATGGGATTTGAAGTGTAGAGGGATGATAATCCCCCTCTCAGTCCTTTAGGTGAGGAGATTGTTTCAATTTTTGAGCGAGAAAGAATTTAATCACTTCTGAGAGTTCTTAAAGGGACATACACAAGGAAGGAAGGAATGGGGACTTTAAGAGCAGATCAGCAGCAGCAGTGTGGGACAGTATCCCCAGCTCCACCCAGGACTTAATCAGCAAAGCTGTAAAGAATCAGAAGTACAGGAGCAACAGGTGAAAAGAGAAACTGAAAGGAGGAAGTAAACAGAGGTTTGAGCTGGCAAAAGGGAGAGCTTGAGGAAGGCCCGTCAGCCCCTTATACATATCTTGGAGCAGAAGACTGACTAAAGCTATGGTCATACTTAGCTCTAAAAGGACTGAAGGAAGTACCCGAAAAAGACCAGCTCTTTGTCCAAATTCCCTTCCTCATGACTAGTAGCAGATATAGTAACATACTCTGCGAATTTTACCTAACATTTCTTGAATCCTGACTTTTAGTTCAAACATAAAGAGGCCAAATAAATATAAATTTAAATTCAGAATAGAAGGTCAAACCCATAGCTGAATGCTAGGAATTTTCTAACTGGGGACTCTGAGCTAATGTGACTATATTCTTAGTTTTTCATCTGAGATAAATTCCATATTATATGGAGGGGCTGAGTGAACCTAAGTGTTCATTATATTGCATCAAAAAAAAAGTGAGCTGTTTGTTGTAATCCAGTGTGGCTAATTAAATCTTCAGACAAAATGGGGGGGTTGGGAGGGAAGGGTGGTAACAAGCACCCAAGCACAAAACATCAATCTGTACTTTCCATAGCAACACACATAGCAACATGTCTGGTGTGTGTATATATCACCGCTATTGATTTATATACATTAGAACAATGCAGGTTGACATTTCTACTTGCTTACAAAT